ACAGAAAGATAACAAGGCTTTTCCATAATTGGGCTGCATGACCTACTTTTTTTACCCTAGACGAACCATTACTCGATTCTAAGCCAGAAAATCAACGAAACAAACCCATTTTGACAATCTTGTATGATATTCGACTGCAAATGTAACCACTAGTGTGTTAAACTTAAGCCACTGATCCCACGGTGGTAAAATAAAAGAAAATTAAATAAATATTCAAGTATAGTTAAATATTGATCTAGCTAGGTTTAATAAGTAATTCCTATTTTAACGATATCTGCATACAAATGTTGGCAAAAACGTCAATATATTGTGTATTTTTTTTCTTTGCATAATCTACAACGTTATTAAAGCAGTACCAAATATTGATAGAAGAAGTTGATTCATTTAAATGATCAAGTGTCATCACAGTGGTGCAGAAAAAATACCGGTTTCCGTTATGCCAGGGGTTGTATATCATTGTTTGTCATTGAGAAGGTCCCATTTCATATTAAAGTTTTAATCGAAAAATTGGGCATCATATATATGATATAATTAAACAATTATAATTTTCAGTGCCACTAATAACTACAAATATAAAAACAAAAGCAGTTATTGCTTTCTCTCGATGTTTACTACTATCGTGCGTTCCCGACCACAGGTCGCGATACTGTCCCGCACAATCCCTTAGTGCTTGATATTATCTCAGATGAAAGAATTCAGAAGTATAATAAACAAGAGGGCCAAGATGGCCCTAGGTCGCTCACCTGACCCATTGAACTCATCCGAACAATTACCTTGACAAGCATTCTGACCCAGTTTCATGACAGGTGAGTCAATATGTGACCACTAGAGTGTTAACAAGGATTGTCCATATTTGAGCAGCGTGATCTAGTTTTTCACCCCAGGTGACCAATATTCAAACTTGACCTATAAATCATCAAAACAAACTTTCAGACCAATTTCCAGGATATTTAGATCAAAACAGTAGCCACTAGAGTGTTAACAAGATTTTTTTATTTTTAGCTCCTGTGACTAGTTTTTCATCCAAAAAAACCCAAGTTCAAAGTTATCCGAGCAATTACCAAGACAAGCATCCTGACCAAGTTTGATGACAAATGAGTAAAAAATGTGTTCACTAAAGTGTTTACAAGGTTAATCCATATTTGTACAGTGTGACCTTGTTTTTGGATCCAGATGACCCATATTTGAATTTGACCTAGACATCATCAAAACAATCTTTCAGACCAATTTCAAGAATATTTGGATCAAAACAGTAGCCACTAGAGTGTTTAATATTTTTTTTCTATTTATAGTTCCTGTGACCTAGTTTTTCATTCAAGATGACCCATGTTCAAAGTCATCTGAGCAATTTCTAAGACAAGCATCCTGACTACGTTTGATGATAATTGAGTCAAAAATGTGACCGCTAGAGTGTTAACAAGGTTTTTCCATATTTGGGCGGTGTGACCTAGTTTTAAACCCCAGGTGACCCATATTCAAATTTGACCTAAAAAACATCAAAAAAAAAACTTTCAGTACAATTTCCAGAATATTTGGATCAAAACAGTAGCCACTAGAGTGTTAACAAATATTTTCTATTTTTAGCTCCTGTGACCGAGTTTTTCATCCGAGATGATTCATATTTGAACTCATCCGAGCAATTACCTAGGTCAGCATCCTGACCAAGTTTGATGATAATTGAGTCGAAAATGTGACCACTAGAGTGTTTACAAGGTTATTCTATTTTTAGCTCCTGTGACCTAGTTTTACATCCGAGCTATTACCTAGACAAGCATCCTGACAAAGTTTGATTGAGGCAAAAATGTGACCGCTAGAGTGTTAACGAACACGTGTGGACGGACGATGGATCACACACGACCGACATTCAACGGTCCTAAAAGCTCTCCCTGAGCTGTGTGAATTTTTTCATTTAAAAGAATGGTGTAGAAGTAGTATAAGTAAAGCAAGTGGCATATTATGTGCTTTATGAAGATTATAACAAAGCACTTGATGGACTCTAACTTATTCAATACAATTAAAAGATTTGACATTAGAATTTTTTCCGTGTTCTTTTATCAATGTACTCAAAACTCCGTGGATCCGGACATATAAGTAATTAATATCACATCAACATTATATTTCGCATGTAACATGGTTACAAGGCAAAGAAACGTAACTATTACAATCATTTATTAATTAAATGAATTACCTCCCTTCCTGTGTAATATTGGACATCGCGGTACATTCATACCAAATTCCATTCCTGATGTTATATGTACTCTTTTTAGCCTGTCCATGGACGGTATTATCAAGTGCAAACTACCGTTCACGCCCAAAACTTTGAAAATGTATACTCTCAATATATTTTTTTTCTCCCGCTCTCTTAAATTAGCAATCCCTATTTGTAATCTGTGGCAGCTTTTCGTTATCTTCGTAAAACAAACTTTAATATCTGTATCCTTACTGTTCAAAAAACCTGAACATATATATGTATCCTTTGTGACTGTTAAATAACATTCCCTACAAAATCCTTTCAAATAAGGCACGAGTACAGCTGTCAGGTTATAGTAGTCACGGATACTTCTTGTATACTGCCACGGGTATCTTTAAGTATAGGGGTACCCACCATGCATGCAAAAAGGACTCGCTTATACCCGAAAGTACTTAACGGCTCGAGAATCAAATGCAGCAAAATGGATGTGGTAAAATAGTTAACGTAATTTAAAAAATGAACGCCTTTCTCTATGAGGATTATAATACTTTTCACCTTCTCCCCTTGCTTGTCTCCCTTGCCTTATACCATTATTGCTTGCCATTCCCTGTCTTATACCATTGTTGCTTGCCGTCCCCTGTCTTATTACATTGTTGCTTGCCCTCCTCTGTCTTATACCATTGTTGCTTGCCCTCCCTTGTCTTATACCATTGGTGCTTGCTCTCCCCTGTTTTAAATCATTATTGCTTGTCCTCATCTGTCTTATACCCTTGTTGCTTGCCGTCCCCTGTCTTATACAATTGTTGTTTGCTCTTCCTCTGTCTTATACCATTGTTGCTTGCCCTCCCTTGTCTTATACCATTATTGTTTGCCCTCCCCTGTCATATACTATTGTTGCTTGCCCTCACCTGTCTTAAACCATTGTTGCTTGTCCTCCCCTGTTTTAAACCATTATTGCTTTCTCTTCCCTGTCTTATACGAATGTTGCTTGCCCTCTCCTGTTTTATACCATTATTGCTTGCTCTTCCCTGTCTTATACCATTGTTGCTTGCTCTTCCCTGTCTTATACCAATGTTGCCTGCCCTCTTATGTCTTATACCATTGCTGCTTGCCATTCCCTGTCTTTTCACCATTGTTGCTTGTCCTCCCCTGTCTAATATCATTGTTGTACATGCTTGCCCCACCCCTGTTTTGTACCATTGTTGCTTGCCCTCCCCTGTTTTATACCATTTAGCTTGCCCTCCCCTATCTTATACCATTGTTGCTTGCCATTCACCTGTCTCATACAACTTTTGCTTCCCTTGTCTTATACCTTTGTTGCTTGCCATCCACCTGTCTATTACCATTGTTGCTTGCCCTCCCCTGTTTTATTCCATTATTGCTTTCCCTCCTCTGTCTTATACCATAACTGCTTGCTCTCCCCTGCCTTATACCTTTGTTGCTTGCCATCCATTGTTTTATACCATTGTTGCTTGCCCTCAACTGTCTTAAACCATTGTTGCATGCCCTCCCTGTCATATACCATTGTTGTTTGCACGACAGTGTTGTTTTGTTTGAGAAAAATTTAGTTCGTTCTATTTGGCATTTGGCTTTTGCTTGTTGGGTGGTTTCTTACTTGAATACTGTATAATCACACATAGCATTTGTTACCTGCTTTTTAAATTAGTCATTTGACAGCTTATCTTTGATATGCAGGCTTTATAATCTCTGATATTTTTTCAAAATTCCATTTTATTTAGTATCGCCGATTGTTTTTTTGTTGTTGTTGTTGTTGTTTGTTTTTTCCACACGAATTCTTTTACTTATACGGCGTTTTTATGGAATGGCACCTAGCATATAAGTACCTCATTAAAGTTCCATGATAACTGTAAGAGTGTTTCTTAATTCAAAATTTCACAGTTACCAATTCTGCTTAAGCCGGTGCTAGCCGGCGTCGATGGTAATTAGCACTTTCCAGACTGAACCAAGCTTGCAACATTTTCAATTTTATCGTATTAGACGTTCTTTAGAGATTATTTTTCTCTCTATTTTAGATACATTTAATATTTTAGCATAAAGAATACAAAATATATTTAACAAACTGTTTTATTTGTACAAACTTTTACTTTTAAAACATAAGTGACAGGCTCAATCAAACCGAGCCTGCAGCATTTTTAATTTTGTCGTTGTGCGCGTTCTTTAGGGATTCAGTTTGTATCTGTTCAATAAATGGAGAATTTGGTAACAAATGTATTATACTTAATACAAATGATAATGCAGTCCAATTATAAAGGGAATATCTCTAATTCACCCAAAACAATATTATTACATGCCACTTTATTTATTAACGCTTAACCCGTACATATTTTGTATGTTAGTTTTTACAGGGCATATCATTAAAGTGTTGAAAAAGGCAAAAACCTCCCTTTATTCACTCTAGCAATTGCTGTATTCAGAGTACCTAAGATTTAACAACAAGTATGACAGTATCGTCAAACAAACGCAACTAAATATTCAGATATTTGATAGCTTTGCTTAGTTTAAAATTTGCTTTCAATGCCCTTTTTCGAACACTGTAAAACAACTCGAGATGAAAATAGCATTCCAAGATATTTATATATTCCAAGTAGGTGCTGGGTTGCAGCTGTAAAAACTATTTCTGGTCCTTCGGGATTATTTATTCTATCACTTTAAGTGTTGAAAATTGAGTACCACTCAACCCGGTGCAAGGGGGCATGAGACAAGATACTATCAAGCTTAATAAATTAAGCTAGATATGATTCACAAATGTTTTAAAGAAATATTGACAATTAAGTAACAAAATCTCATGTGTATTGATACTTACTTATTTATTGTAAAAAGAATTGAAGCAACAAAATATTAATGCAGTAAAACATTGACAAAACGAAACATTGATACAGCAAAACTTTACTACTAAGGATCACTGATACAATGATACATTGATATAACGATACACTGATACAACGAAACATGGGTAAAACGAAACATTGATACAACAAAACATTGATATATCGAAACACTGATAGAACGAAACATGGATAAAACGAAACATTGATACCACTAAAAATTGATAAAATGAAACATTGATATAGTGTAACATTGATA